TGCTTAAATATTTCTCTCTGGTGAATATTATGTTACAGTCATGAGATGTTAATGAATGGAAATACGATAATAATTCAACATTTTCAGTTGTTGAATATTCTCATCTTATATCACTTGACATCATGCGTGTGTATCTAGATTATATTGCACAATTTCTGCTCGAAACAAAGGCGCATTTGCCTCGTCTAACTGAATTAAAAGTCAGTTATGACCAATTAAAAATGGTAACAATGAACTTTACAAGAGATACCACGCGGCGTAATTGTTCGAAAGTGAAACAATTACTTGTTGAAGAGTCAACGGCATTTTCAAAAGATGTTTATCAATATTTTCCTTCATTGTAAATTGAATTCTATGTTATTAACATGAATAAAAATAAATGTTATAAAAATCTTTATGTTATGTTAATAAAATAAAAAATATTAGTTGTTTATGATTGGGTATTGAGTTTTAACAGATATGTCCATTGGAAAATTATTCTTATTATTTTATTGATTTGTATTTATAAGTGAAACTATGTAGTTTAATGACAATTTCTGACAGTAGGAGTTTCAAGAAAAAACTATTAAAACAGGTCTGTGGGAACTATTGAAATTTAATACAGAAAAACATCAGAATATCATCTAACTATAGTCCATCCAAAAAGTCCGTGTGTGTGACTATTTGTTGAATAACTCGAGAACAAAAAGAGATATAAATCTGTGATTTTTACTATTGCATAGGGTTTGAGTACTCTATCGATCTCTACTAATAGAAGATGAAAAACATCGACTTTTAAGGTAATGTTCATTATCGATCTTTGAAAGATGTGAACGTGGTTATCGTAAGTGTTATAGTGACTTATCAGTTCTAAATATGTAAAAGATAGTCCACAGAATCCTCTATGAAATGACGAAAATCCGACCTCTCTAGTTATTGTAATTCAAAAATATCACACATTTTCCTGGAGTCTATACTAGTCCATACGTTCGATTACGATCACACTGTGATCCGTAATTACGGATCACACTGTGATCCGTAATTACGGACACCTTGATGCAGTTGTTGAAAATATGGCGACACGGAAATGCTTTTTCTTAATAGGATGGACTGCAAATATGTATAGTAAAGCTCGTTGTTGGTTATTGTTTACATTGTGGGAGTGGTTGTTTTTGGTCTCGAACAACTTTTATAATTGAAGATGACGAGCTAGACTATGTAGAAAGAGTCTGGACTTAAAATATGTGACTAAAATGAAGAAAAAAACCAAAAAGTGTAATTTTATGATCAACATATTACAGAATATCACTGATTGATATAAACAAACATATAATTCTTATATACTATAACAGGATATAAGAATTATATGTTTGTTTATATCAATCAGTGATACTCTATAATATGTTGATCGTAAAATTACATTTTTTGAATACCCAAAGTATTTTTTTGTTTTGTTTTAATCACATAGTTTGAATCCATACTCTTTCTGCATAGTCTAGCTCGTCATCTTCAATTATAAAAGTTGTTCGAGACCAAAAACAACCATTCCTACAATGTAAACAATGATCAACAACGCAGCAGTGTTCAGACTTTCAAAGAAAAAGGAAATTTCGAAAGTTTGGAAAATTTCAAGCATTTGTGTGTCAAATTATTCCGTACTTCCAAAAACTATAGAATTTCAGAAATTTCTGAAATTCCTAAACTTTTCAATGTTTCTAAAAACTTTTAATTTCCACTGCTATATGACTATTGACCTGATGGAAATTTCATAAATATTGGTAATTTCCTTTTTCGGAAATCTGAACATACCTCAGAGATTTTCACTGCACATATTTTGTATAATAAAACCAAAGAACAGATGAGGGTTATATATTTTAGTCCTATAATAAGAACTATACTGAGAAGTTGTTTGTAGCTTTGCGCGTATATAGGCTTTAAAATATTCTTTCTCATTTTCATACCAGATTAACTTATGATTCAAGGTAAGAAAGAGTCACCTGATTGAAGATTTCAAATTGATTTGTTCAGGTCTTTCATGTAAAAAAACCTCTCAGCGAGGAAACAGATTGATCAGTTGTCAAAAGAGGAGTCAAAAATATCTTTAGATGAATAAAAAACACATCACAATATGAAACAAAAGGACTTATGTTTCAATACGACCTACCTGGCAGTAGAACTTTTGACAACTACAAACAAAAAAAAATGAAAGGTTTAATTTATCATGATCTATTCAAAAACAATAGGATTTGCATCATACAAAAACACATTTATTCTGTTTTAATCCTTGACTTATATTTTAATTAATGATTTATAAGACAAATCGAATGAAATCATACTATTATTTGACTATAATCGTTAGTTCCCGTTGCGACAATTCTTTTTTCTTACAGTCTCAGTCCCATGCATCTCTACCAGAGATGGGACCGATTCGGTTGGCAACTTTCAAACCGATATCGGTTTCGGTTCGGTTCGGAACTTTTCGAACAGATCTCGGTTTCTGTTCAGTTTATTTCTTAGTTAAATTGATACAGTTTAAGTCAATGTATTGACATGTAAAAATAAAGAAACTAGAACGAGAAAAGAGGTTCTTAGCAACATTAACAATATTGATACATTTTCTTGTCATTCTTCGTCTCAGAAAGAAGGAAGTAAACAAACAAATCATGTCTTTAGTTTAGAAAAACACATTTAGATACTTTTGTTTTGTGATAACTAAATAAATCAAATACATCACAATATGACTATTTCTCTCCTATTAAATATAGATGATGTTATTGAACTTGATTTTTCATCAAATTGTGAAAATGTTCAGTTAAATTCTTCATCTTCTGATTCATTTTTTTTCATCGAATCAGGTAGCAAGTGTGTCCGGTTTATTTTTCGATCTTTAGCTGCTGAAAAAATTAATTCGAACTTAAAACTTAATAAAAAAAATTGAATGATTGTTGATATGAAAGATAAAAAGTCCGATTGATGGGAATGTTTTGATATTCCTGCTCGAAAAATTGATGAAGAAAAAAGTGAATTATTTGAAAAATTTCTGTCGTGTAAGTATTGTTATTATTTAGTTTCAATTATTCCCTAAGTAGACTTTGAAAAAACAAATTTTTCGGTTTAGTTCAGTTCGGTTTGGGATGTGGTGGGTGCAAGGGGGAAAAAGCAGATTTCAAGATTTCAAGATTCCCAAAGATTCTCAAAGATTTCCAAAGATTTCTAAAGATTTCTAAAGATTTCAAAAGATTTCTAAAGATTTCTAAAGATTTCTAAAGATTTCCAAGGATTTCCAAAGATTTCTAAAGATTTCTAAAGATTTCTAGGGATTTCTAAACACGGTAATTAAAGTAAATATGCATGATCTAATAAATGTCTACTTGAGAACCAAGTCTGGCCTCATTGTACACGCATTGGGATGTGTTTTACTCTGTTCACTGGAGCGAAGACAAATGGAAAAAAACATATTGCAAGATTTTAAAAGTTTTTTGAAGATCTGCAACTATTTTAATTAAATAAAATCTGTATGCTCTAATAAATCTTGACCTGAGAACTAAGACGAGGCTTGTTTTATTCATTTTGCAATGTACATCATAAATATCAATTTCTCGCTTTCTTAGAAAAACTGCAAAGAACACATAAAAGTTCAATTTTCTCCTTCATCATCATGAACTAAGTAGAGTTCCTAATTTTGATCTTTTTTGAGAAAACCTTCAAGACCTTTCATGATGCTAGACATAACAGCTTTTTCTCCTTTTTTTTACCTTACGTCGGAGTGAATAAAAAAAATTAAACGTTTATGATTGTTTCTTTTCAGTATTTTAGAAATGAATCATCAACACATATATTATGATAAAATACAATTTCAAGAATAAAAATCAAAAAGTGAAAGTTAAATAATAATAAAAGAACAATAATGTGTTTATACAAAAATGTCATCATTTTTTTCAACAAAAAAAAGTTAAATTTTAGTTCTCTTAGTTTCATAAGAATTATCGACATAATTTTCTGCCAAACGTTTGTTATTTCTTTTTCCCTTTTTTGGTTTTGCTGTTGGTTTATTTGTTGAATCATTCAAAAAAGTAGCTACTGCTACTGTTTCTGTTAAAGGTTGTTGATATAGAGGTTGCGAAGACAAGAAAGGCAACCTTGCTGTAGTTGAAGTATTTGAATCGTCATTTATTTGTTCTTGTTGTTCATCATTAATTTTCAAACCTCTAAGTTTTCTCATTAATGTGCATTTTTGGTTATCTCTTAAATGACGATAATAATTTGATAAGAGGAACTTACTTTTATTTTTTGACAGAACTAACTTTTCATTGCACTTACATTGAATAAATACATCATTCATATTTCGTATAATCAAATCATAATGAACACCTTCTGTCAAGACAAAATCGTTATTATCAAAAAATTCAACATTTTCAATACTCCATTTTTCAATTGTATTTATTATGATCTGTTTTGGATCATCACTAGTTGTTGTTGTTGTTGTCAGAGGAGCAGAAAAATTAGTTGTAGGTGTAGAAAATGAGTTAGAATTGTTACTTGTATCAATAGTACTTGTTAGTGTCCGGCGTGACCAAATTTTTTGGTCACGATCACGTCACGGTCACGACGGGTTGGTCACGGTCACGGTCACGGTCACGGTCACGGTCACGAGCTCTACTCACCGTGACCGTGACCGTGAGTCACGGAAATTTTCTCTAGCTAGTTACGACCTCTCTCGTATAATAGGAGTTTGTTGATGAAGGTTAAATACATTCGTTCTATTGGTCAAGGCAATAAGAATATGTTGGTGAAAAAAAAGGCAAGCAGTTGATATTAAATAATAAATTTGTTACATTAGATGAATAATGATTAATACAACTTCAATGGAAAAATATTTGTCGAAAGAGAATTTGTTGCAGTTAATTATCAATAAAGATAATTCAGTTACATTCTCGAAAAAAAAAGAGAAGGATCATGTATCTAAAGTTTGGCTTTATTTTAGCACAATTTGTGTTCACAATATAACACAAAATTATGTTATGTGTAATTCCTGTATGTCACTTATTGCATATAAATGCTCAACGGGTACTGGTGGTATGCAGAAGCATATTGAGTGTTGTCCTAAGTCTTCTTCAAATGTTGAACGTGGTGAAAATAAAATTACATCATATTTTAATCTTACAAAAAATAAATTAAACTTTGTTCCTCGAGAATTAAAAGATGCATTAACAGATGCATTAACTGAATTTATTATTTTTGATAGTCGTCCATTTGAAACGGTAAATGGTGAAGGTTTTACTGATCTTATCAATACTGCAATATCTATTGGTCGTCGTTTACTTGATTCATCAACAGTTTCAGCTTCTGACTTGCTTGCTGATCCACGGACAGTAATATCACAGATTTTTTTTCATACTTTTATTGTCGAATTTTTCTGTTTAGTTAAGCCGTCGAGTGGATCGTATGTATGAAGAACGTAAAGCACAACTTAGAACTTTATGTCAAACATTCAAATCATTCACAATTATAGTGGATTTTTGGACCGAAAAATATACTGGTTAGCTTCATTCTACTCATTTTTTCCGCTTTTTCTTAGAAACATTATGTCTAATATTTGTTGTAAACTTTGAAAAATGAGTAATCTTATTTTTATTGCCCGACTGAAAGATATTTTCTAATTTAAAAAAAGATTCTCTTCTTGTGCGTAGTTTATTTGATAAAAGTTAACTAATTCAATACAAAAAAAAAAATTTCAATTAGGATAAAATATAATACAAAAGTTAAATATTATGAATAAAAATTGATTACATTAAAATAAATAATATAACAATAATATTATTGTTGACGTTTCGGTACAGAATTGACCTACTTCGGAGCCTATTATTATATGCACTATTGATGTTTGTTTTGTATATGCATATGCATTTTTAAAAATATTCTTTGTTCTTCTTTTTCATAGGGGTACAGATAAGGAAACCTAGCTGTCATTTCCTTCTGGTATCATTGTTTTGTTTTGTCCATACCATTATCAAAAAGACGAATAAAATATATTTAAAAAAAATGTGTATACATGTACAAAACAAATATCAATAGTACATGTAATAATAGGTTCCGAAGAAGGTCAATTATGTACAGAAGCATCAGCAATAAGATTATTTTTATTTTATTTATTTTAATGTAATCAATTTTTATTTAGAATATTTATTTATTGTATTATATTTCATTCTAATTGAAAATCATTTTTTTTGTATTTAATCAGTTAACTTTTATCAAATAAACTGCGCATAGGAGGAGTTTTTTTTCTTAAATTAAAAATCAATATGTGCTTCCTTAGCCCAATCCAGCTGGAAGATATTGTAAATATTCTGCTTGGATTTAATAATAGATTGTTGACATATAATAAATAATAAAGCAATCAATTTCTACCTTTCCGAACTTAATATTTCAAATCTTTTGTTGCATTTTGAATTTCTCGCTATAGGAGTTCATTTCTGTGGCATATCACTGCACCATATTAATGATATTAATCAGCACCAATCATTTTTACTTGCTTGTCGTGCTTATGATTTAGAAAATCAAACAAGTCCTAATGTACGAAAATTTGTTAATGCTATTCTAGAAGAATTTGGTCTTGTATTTGATTCATCATCGTTCATTGTCTCAGACAATGAAAGCAAAATGAAGGCTGCTTTTCACGATGTGAACCGCATCGGTTGTTCGATACATTACATTAACAAAATTATGGAAAAAACTTTTACTGATACAAAAAATGATGATTTAAAAGAATATCAAGATTTATTTATGCATGTGAAACAAATTGTGGAACATGTTCGACGTTGCCATAAACAGAATAAACTCAGTAAGAAGTTACAGGTATACAGTAAAACAAAATTTAATGGAGCATTTCATATGTTCAATGTATTTAATGAAATATTTGATGAAATTCCTCGTGCACTTGATACAAAATTTCTTCTTACATATTCGATTATCAATCGACAAAGTTTACAAGAAATATGTGATTTCATTAGTACATTCGATGAAGTTATCGAGAAATTAAGCGATAGTGCACGACCGACATTACATCGAGTAATACCACTTCGTCAACATTTAATTGATCACTGTTTTGACAATGATGATGATAACCTTATTCATATGAAAAAATTTATAGGTATCTATCAACTTCGATTGTGTAGTCATTGAAATTGATTTTTTCTTTAAAAAAATGTATATAAGAGTTAGCAATCTCATTTTCATTTAGAATACCAATTATTAACAACATGGACACCACAAGACGCCCATCTTCTTGCTACTATAGTACATCCTCAGCTAAAGCATTTTGACAAATTTCTTTCTTATAAACAAAGGGCAAGTGAATTACTTCAAGCTGAAATTAAACGACGTGTACAAAAAAATCAATCATTATCATCACCATCTACATCATTATTTACATTATCATCTACATCATCATCCACATCATCATCTACATCATCATCCACATCATCATCCACATCATCATCCACATCATCATCTACATCATTATCATCCACATTATCATCCATATCATTATCTACATCATCATCAACATCAACATCATTGTCACCGTCATTAAATATATTTGAATCACTCTCTTGTACGACAGGTGATGTAAATATTACCACATCATTATCTACACAAGGAAATTTTACAAAAAAAAAACAAAAAGGTGTTTTATCATTGTGTTACGATAAACCTAGGTCTTCAACAATATCTATTGATGAATTTGACTCATGGATGTCATCCACGTTGACGCTAAACGATAGTGAAGGTGATAATATTCTTGAGTTTTGGTCTCAGCATCAAAACTTATTCCCTACTATTGCTGCTATTGCACGAGATGTTCTATCAATACCTGCATCAAATACTAGTGTTGAACGTTTGTTCTCTAAATCAAAATCTTTGATTACAGAGAAACGAACTAATTTGGCAGTAGAAAAAATCGATCGTTTATTATTTTTAAAACAAAATCTTAACATGCTGAAGAACATATGCGACAAATATTCACATGAAGGTGAACCACATCGAATGAAACGTAAAGAAAATGAACAAGCAAGCGAATTAATTCATAATAATTCGAAAAAAACAAAAGCAAATGAAATTGATTTAAATATTAATGATAAAGAAAACTATGTTCTTAACTAACTTGCTTTGTTTTTAAGTAATAGTAACATATGGATGTATTTTCTTTTAAAAGTGTAATTGTGAGAAATATGTATTTTTTTATTATGTTTTCTTCTTTTTGTGATGTTCATGTTTTCTATTTATTTTGATATTTATGTTTTGTCATTATTATGATGTTTATGAGAAGCTATTTTGATTCAGAAAAAGGTATATAAATTATCGAAATACGTAAAGAATACAAAATTCTTTTTGTTTTGGGGAATGCAATGCAGTTAATACAAAATACAGGATTAGTGACTATTTTAATGCCCGTGACTGACCGTGACCAAACTCCGGTCACGGTCACGGTCACGGTCACGATCCTTGAAATAAAATCACTCACGGTCACGGCCGTGACCGTGACCGTGACCGTGACTCACTGGTAGTCACGGTGGTCACGCCGGACACTAGTACTTGTACTTGTTAATGAAAGATCTGTAGTTATTGGTGAAAGAGAAAATCTGTGTTGTTGTTGCTGTTGTTTATGTTTTAATTCTTTTGCATATTCTTCATTTTTTTTTGTAAATAATTCACGTAAATATTCTATATTTGCTTTTAAACCAGGTCGAATCATAAATGTATTATTTCGTAATTCTATAGAACATCGTTTCTGTAAATCAATAAATTCATCGGCATCCCAGGTTAATATTTCAAATATATCAGATGTTAGAAGAAATGCACTGATGTTGTTAATACCTTGAGCCTTTAACAAGTCAACAATACCTTCACTTCCAGTAACTTGAATAATAATATCATAAAAGTGTTGATCGTGAAGTGAAAAAATATTTTTTGGTAATATTGATGTATCAACAGTAATTTTTAACATTGTTCACGAGAAAAAAATGTTTTCATCTAATACAAAATTTTGTTAGAATTGACAATCAACGTTCTTCTACTATAGCTATAGAGAGAATAGAGATATGAGAGAGAGAGAGAGAGAGAAAGAAAATAGAGAAAATAAAATGAGCGTGTTTTATATGACATGTCAAACGAGCCAAACGTGTTCTTTTTCTTTCCGTATCAACCAAAAGCACATATACGGTTAGCCTTTCTGTTTCAAAACGCGAGAAGAGAAAAGACAAAAATTTTGAAATTTCCCCAAATATTCAATCAGATTCATGTGACTAAAGAGAAAAAAAGTATGGTTGATTTTCTTTCTTGAAGATTTTTTTTTATGAACATATTTTACCTTTACAAGGATCTTCAAGAATGAAATATTGTGCACAAGTCTCTGAGTTCTAAGTGTTTCATATACACAAGAAACCATGAAAGCCTGTTCATTTGTGAGTTTAAATGCAGTAAATTCATTATCAAAATTAATTATACTTTTAGAAATCTTTGTAACTTTTTTTTCAATGTTTTGAGCAGTTTAATTCACAAACCATGTAGAGAAATCTCTTCCCTATCGATCGTCGAAATTAGCAAAAGATTAAATTTATTAACTATATATGTATTTAGATTATTAACATCTCATTCTAATGATGGTTAAAAATGGAGTGAAAATTTAATCTTTTGCATATATCTCATTAATATTTGATAAAGGAAAATAAAAGCAAAAGTTATATTATTAATCGCAGACGTTAGATTGAAAAAAATTTGTATTTATTGCTACACATCTGTTCATATACTAATGAAAATGACAAGTATTTTCCTGCTGAAAAATCCTCTGGTTTCATTTAGAATTTCATGCAGATTCAGAATGTGTTGTTCTTCTTGAAAAATGTGGTAAGCAAAGATGTAACTTTATCAATACTCGTACTTTCTTTTCAATAATATGTTTATCATAGCGAAAAATAGGAAGAGAAATATTTCATTCGTTTTGTTATTTTTTATGCCAAATATTTTTTTCTAAAGAATATTACTGAAACTTTTTTTTACCTTGAAAAAATTCGCTTCTATTGTATACACTAAATCCATGAAAGATTACACATTTACTGTATGTAGAATAAATACGTAAACCTTTTATAGACAGATTTTCTAGAAGACTCTTGAAAATCAACCTTTAGATATAAATATTTCGATATCTTAGAGAAGACCTTGATGTATGCAATCGTGAAGATGATTTCTTGAATAAAAAAAATAAAACGGCTATAAATATATTTTTCTTATCAAACCAATAATAGCTGAGTGTGAGCACTTACCCCTAGTTATATCATCAAGCTTATGCATTACCTGGATACGAGGTAAATGTGAAATACTGATGGAGGTCTCTGAAAAGTCATAACCACTGCATTCAAGTGACGAACTTTGAAAAACTAATTTCACAGATCGATAGAAAAAAAATATCTCTGCATGGTTAGTTAAGAAAACTTTTAAAAACATTGGAAAAAAAGTCATATAGATTTAAAAAGTAGAATTGGCTTAATAATGTATTTATCCCTTTGAGTTCTATATTCTATTTCATTTGATCTTTCCGAAGTCAAATTTTTCTTTTTTAATCAGTAAAGAATGATTACGGCTGATGGACATCAAGAGTTAGGTATAATACTGTTGAGAAGCGAGCTATTTAATTTGAAAAGGTCGTACGGAACTGAAATATTTACTACATGATGGTATCTGTCATGTTTCAAAAGCTTTCTTATACATTAAACAAGTTATTAACTTATATTGTATATACAGTTTCGCAAGAAATAGACTCTTTTTGTAGTGAAAATATCGCTTGCTTCAAAGCTATAGTAAAAATAAACTTATCATTGTAAAAGAGCTAGCTTTGATGTTCAAAAGATGATGAACCTAGAAGATAAGATTCAGAAAATAAAAATAACTAAGAGTTTGAGGTAATCTATCAAAACGAAGTAGTAAAAATTTGAATGTGAACCGGATCAGAGTCAGAGTACTTCGTGATATGTGATGAGAAAAAGTATTGATAGTTTTAACTATTCGCCTCTACAGAAAAAACACTGCAAAAAGAGATTGTTGCCGGTAATAATGGTAGTGTTGTAGGTGATATTATATTTTAAATGAAATACGGTTCTCTAGAAGACTAAGGTTCGAAATAATCTTCATATTACGACAGAGATGCCTAAGCAACCCTTAAATATGGATTCAAAACATGTTAGTTTTGCTTTTTTGGTTTTCAAATCTGATAATAGTTCTGTGAGGAAGAATTTCGAAGACCTAAAAGACGTCCAATGTCAGAGAAAAACTCGATAATTTACAAATGAATGGCTCAGTTACAAAATGAAAATAGTTAATAAAATGTTTGCTAAAATCGTTTCTGAGATTTTTTTCTCTCAGCTTTATTTGCATTATGTCTTCCTGCTGTAGACGAAGTTTGCTTACTTCGTGTTTCACACTTTGTCTCTAACAATTTTTGTGTTCACAACTTCTTTATTTTATAGATATACTAAATCTCTTTTGATTAATTCAGATATACATTTGCTTTTTCAATGCAACGTTTAATCTTAGCTAACACTTTAGTGTTGCCTTCTGATATATTTCTGTTAAAAAATGATAGTTTTTATTCTTACGTATCGGAAGCTGTAGGTGAAATTCCTGCATCCTACTTGAAATTTTTAAGTATTAATTCTGCAGATTGCTTGTTACGTATTGATGATATATTTGCATTTATTTCAATTGATTCTCCAGAATTCAATGATTTGAGAAGCAAACTAGCATTTCAATTGAACAATGGAACTTTCGTCGTCAGACCTGGATTTAAACACATTTTAAATAATTTTATTCAAATTCTTCGTGACAAACAGAAAAACGATAGTAGTAGAACTAATGACGAACAACAAAAAGAAGAAATATTTAAAATAGTTCAAAAGCATTCACTGCTTCGTTCATTAATATCTTTCTATCAAGTTAATAATACTAATGATTTTACTATATCATTTTTATGTTGTCTTATTGAAAATACAATCGATAATCTTATGAGATCCAAGAATCATTATCATTATGCAAAACCAATCATTGATTTTTCCATCTCACTCTACATTTTGGGAGGACGAACCACCTATGAATTCGTACGAAGTAATCTTATATGTGCTCTACCAAGTATAACAACAATAAATCAGTTGATATCTACCGAATTGTCCTCTTTCAAAGAATCAGAATTTCGATTTGAATCACTAAGTGAAACTTTTAATTCCCGTCAAATTACTCACGTTTTTGCATCCGAAGATTGTACAGGCGTCGTCAAAGCAATCAAATACGATGTTCAAACAGATTGTTTTATTGGTTTTGTTAGCCCACTTCAAGAAGGAGTACCTCGTAAAACCTATTTCCAAACTGATTCTTTCGCAAAATTGAAAGAGTGGTTCAATAACACCAAGAAAGCAAACTTGCTCAATGTACACATGATCCAACCAATCACTCAAAATATTCAATTTGGTTCAGCTGAAATTTTGGCGGCGTATGGTGTAGCCGATTCTTATACTTCAACTGATATTTTGAAACGTTGGTTATATATATATCATAAATTTAAGCAACGAAATATTAGAATAATTGGATTTAGTACAGGTATGTTTTGAAACGAAGTCTTACTTACAGGTACAGAATCTTCTAGTCGAGAGGCCTTCGAGGGAGCTTTCTTAGGTACTACCTCGGTTTTCCACGAATCTTTGCCTATACATACTAGATGATGCCCTAAGAAAAGCTCTGTAGAAATTCATATGTACTTTGAAATTTGACTAAGCTATGGAATGTTTAATATGCCAATTTTCTAGAGGTACTTTCAAGATTTCAGCTTTTGGAAGAAATGGAGTCTGTGAAATTCAACTTAAAACTTCGAATATTTAGAAACCTTAGTAATACGAGATGTCATGGGAAATTCAGAGCTACTGAGCAAACTGCATTCAAGATAAATAGATTTCAAAAAAGTTTCCCATTGCATGTACAACCGATGGAAAAGTGTCAATATTCTGAAACTTTCATACCTCGCAAAGAGTATGATCAAAATTTCAGGACTTTTTTTAATGAAAACCAATATAGTTAAGGTGTATAAATGCGTACAGTTTTAAATCAAAGTTCGAAGACCTGATTTTTCCTCAAACCTGAAATTTTTTAGGACTGTTGAGAAAATAAGCATATTGAAAACTTGGCAGCTTAGTCATATCCCAATATACATCCAAATGCTTTTAGGACTTTACTAGGGTATCATGTAGTACTTATGAATAAGACTCATTGAAATTAGAGCAAAGACGCAGCTGAAGAGGTTCTTTCGTGGGCCTTTTTCGAACACTACTACTAGAGAATCAATGGAGAAGGTCTCCTGAAAAGATTCAATATGTAATTTCTTTCCTATGGAATCACTTAATCAATGCTATGTGAAATATGTTGAAAAGAAAGAAACTTTTGAAAAAATGCAAAATGAAGTGTTGTGGTTTCTCATTCCTAATTTTAAAATATAAACAATTAAATCCTTATCTCTTTAGTTGATTGCAAAATTTCTGAAGAAGATTGAAAATATTTTTTCTGAAATTTTGCAGATATTAGATCTTTATTTGCTTCAATACTCTGCTCACACTTCTGGCAAAACAGTAAACTTGGAAATTTTTTTTCTTCTGTTCCAGATTGTGATGGAAAGTATCTTCGATCTATGAAACTTCTATTAGAATTTTTTGCAACACTTCCGAACATCAACTTGACTAATGATGATAAATGTTTTCAAATTGATATACCAGATGAATGGAATTGGTTTTTTCTACGACGAAAACAATTGTTACTCTTTTTTCAAGATGCTACTCATCTAGCCACGAAATGGCGAAATCGACTTCTGTCGGATATCGCCGATCTTACTGTCGGGAATAAAAAAGCAAACATGTTTCATCTCGAACACATAGTCAAAACTTATAATAGTAAATTTGATCATGCATTAGTTATGTCTGATTTAAATCCTTCTGATCGTCAAAATTACAGATCATGTGAAAAGATCAGTAGAGATGAAATTTTAGCAATTTTAGAATCAGATGATGATACTTATGCTACATTTCTTTACATTAAATTACTTCGTTACATAATTGATGCATTTATAAACAAAGCTACTTCGATTCAAGATCGTCTCTATTTCGCTTGGACAATAGTCTTCGTCTGTCGTTTATGGAGAACATGGTTGAATTTAGAATTCAAATCATCAACTCAGAAAAGTAGAGACAATTATTTCATCACAAGGCCTGCATATTATTCAGTCGAAATCAATGCACATATTCTTCTTTATTTAATATTATTAGTTCATGAAGGCAGCTTACCATTAGAATCATTACAAATTCCATTGTTTAGCAATCAATCGTGTGAAAGTATTTTTAGAAGTTCCAGATCTTTAACTGGAACACAGTCAACAATGGTCAATTTCACTGTGAAGGGTAAATTTTCTAAGAAAATACCATCAATACGATAAAATAATATAAAACTCTGTCATTTTTGGAGTTTTAGTCGACGGAAACACTTGCACCGTGAGAAAAAGGCTTCTCTCATTTCTGATTGAATATTCAAAGTTCATTTTTAGGACTGTTTATTTGACAAAGATTAGAATCAGAAAAAAAGAACGTTCCTGATTTAATTTCATTAAATTTTAAGGCTCTAATTTATAATTGACTAAATTTATCATTATTTGTATGGGATGGAGTCAAATATGTCTTTTGAAGGTGAAGGATAATACTTCAACGACTCTATTCATTAAGAAAGCTCTTATAAAGAATTCACTTTAGAAAATACCGTCAGTATTGATTAGTGGTACTCTTACTGAAACTTGGGTACCACCTTAGTACGGAGTTTCTGTACTTATCATGCATTACTGGATGTTTCTTGAGTACGCGTATGTAGCTTTTATGCATTCTAGTGATATACGAAAAATATTTATGAACCAATATTTCATCCATCCTTATTGTATTGCATTTGTTTCATTCAAATATAAATTTAATTGCAAAAAATGAAGACGTAAATAATAAATGCGTGAGAGAGAATAATAAATAATAGAACTAAAGCTATCATATTATCTTCACATGTGTTTGAAGCAAATAATAGAGGTACAGAAATTCTAATCGTTACAGAAGGGTATGAAGTATTCCCCTTTAAGATAAAATTCTATTTGTTAAAAATATCATAAATAAGATAAATTTTCGAAAACAAGAAAATTTATTTTTAATAAGATGTACAATAAACAAAGAATTGTAAAGCTGCATAATCACTTATTCCACATTATTAACAATCATTTGTATCCAACAATTCCGTGACTCTTTTGTATAATTTTGATAAGAAAATTTCTTTTTTTTTTTTATGATTTTACCTTTTCGTTAATATTCAAAAAAAATAAATGAAGCTGTATTTTTATGATCCAAAACAAAGAGAGCTAAAAATTTCTTCATCAAAGATAAAGACTTAATCTTCATCTCATGAAGTCAGACTACAATAAATGAGAAGAAAAGTCAAAAATAAAAGTATTCTCAGCAACACAGATTTTAAAGTGCGAATAGATTTAGTATCAATTATTACATAAAAAATGCAAGTACAATTTTTTTTTCATTAATCATTAATAGTAATCTCTAAATAACTTATGAAGAAAAGCAACAAAGATAAAATTATTTATTTGCATTTGTATCCAGGTGTCTTTAAGATAATAAATTGGAACCGGCTTGTAACATGTATTGTGAGTTCATTTTGTGCCATGTTATTTTAAGAATCATTTTAAAAATTTATATTAATGAAAAATTTTTTATATAAATTTAGAAAATTAAATTTGAATAGATCTCTATTAATACATAAACAGATATTAAAACCCACTTGATACTTAAAAGGTTTAAAATGAAAAGTCGCTTTACTTTTTTCAATCAATTACTATTCGACTAAATTGTATAAATGATTTATCAGCAAATAATAAAGGACAAACTAAATAAGCTGTTAAAATAGTTTCTTTCAATTTTCTGTTATATCATATCTACTTTACTTACTACATGATCTCAGTCTATTTGTGTAAATGAAAATGCATGTTTTCTTGAATATGCTACCAAACAACGAATGCAAATACTACAGTTGTGTGTTCACATCACTTTCTAGAACTAAATTTGTACAGGAAACCTCATATGAGTATTCGTCAAAGTCCATGAAAAGTATTCATGTATATAAAAAATGTTGGATGGCTTCAACTAGTAATTTGAGTACTGGTATTAGGACATCATGCTCACTTGATGAGTATCTTCACCAGGATATTCTATATTTTTTGACATATATGGCTAGGCAGACAACTTTCCTTTATAGTCCAAGTGTTATTTTCTTCAAATTTCTCTCCTTTAGATTTCTTGCATCGAGCAGAAAAATTAACAATATTACAAAATATCAAAGCTCTTGAAGATCAAACTCAACACTATCAACTACAATTCCCTAAACATCACAAGCATAAAAAAAACAATGAAAAGATTGTAGTATTTAATCAGAGTCTTAATGTAACTGAAATTGAAACAATAGTCTTACAAGCTTTTGCACATGCAAAAGAACTTGTATCTAAATTGGATATAAATATATTATTAGAAGAATATAATCTATTGGAATTAGAAGCATTAAGTGTTGAAACATACAATAGCTTGAAGAAGTCAAATCGAGTTATCGACTCAGCAACATCGAACACGTTCACAGATTCTGATTCAGATAATGACGATAATGATAACTTTAATAATAATGATGATAATGATGACTTTAATAGTATTGACGATAATGATGATTTTAATAATAATGATGATAATGATGACTTTAATAGTATTGATGATAATGATGAAAATCAGTATGGAATTTCAATGATAAATGATGATGATGATATACCAGATAACATTCTGCAATCAAATAGAACCGATTTTTCTGGTATGCGAGTATTTGATTCAATTGATCAAGCACAAAAAAACTCATATTTTAATGTTGAAATTAATGGCAAAAAAAAATTTCTACATAAACAAACAGCATGTTGGTATTTGACGGAAGGAAAAGGTCATTTATCTAGCGACCGTCTGTCGCGTGTGAAACAAATGAGTAGATAAAACTTTTAAAAGCATTTTTTTTGTACATTTGTATTTTTGTATAAATTTTGTTCATCTATGGTTCAGTCCAGTTCCCATCCATTGTTTCATGTAGCAAAAAGTTAGATGATTCATGTGAAACAAATTTTTATAAAACATATTTTTCAAAATAAGAGAAAAGATGTGAGCAATTGAGAATGTTTTATTGGTCAGAATACGTTATCATATATCATCCGCGAATTTGATTGTCATATAATCACATTTTTTCTTGTATCAACTATTGAATAGGTTCATTAACAATGAAACAATAATATATTTCATTTGATTCAACGCGCATAAGTATAGCATGTTGCTTAGTAAACCAAGATAAACCTTTTTTTTGGACATTAGCTACTTTATCAGAACTTTTGAGTCATGAGTGAAATTATTGCCGTCAAGAACCGACTTTTATTGAAGAGAGTTTTATTATTCTCGAATAATAAGCGACCTCATTTGATTTTTTTTTATCGCTTCCCAAACGCACCCTCTAATTTTCGAAAATTTGAATATGCCATGTTAGAAAACACCAATAAACATAACTAGAACTATTAACGAATTTAAGTTTATTAACAAGTATTTTGACAAAAAAATATGTTGCATTATCATCATTGTGACCATTGGTTTAACGAAAAACAGTCGATTGACTTTTCTTGATCAATTGACTAGCTCACAACAGGATACAGTATATAAGTATAATACGACAAGTTTGTGTGCACTCATGTGTACTAAAATTTTTCGATTTTAGCGTTTGAAGTAATTTCAAAATCTGCATGAATCACGATGCTCGAATTTATCTACTAATGTCTAACGACTCTATCACTGCCTACGCAAAGCTAAAAAAGCAGATTTCTAAAAATTTTTAAAGATTTCCAAAGGTTTCCAAAGGTTTCTAAAGATTTCCAAAGATTTCTAAAGATTTCTAAAGATTTCTAAAGATTTCTAAAGATTTCCAAAGATTTCTAAAGATTTCCAAAGATTTCTAAAGATTTCTAGAGATTTCCACAGATTTTACGGGCTAAAATCTGCTTTTTCCCCCTTGGGTGGGTGCGGGTATCGGTGTGGGAGTGGGTGTGGGGGTGTGGATGGGTGTAGGTATGGCTATAGGTATGAGTCTAGTTTTCCCACTCATCAACACCCACATCCACACTCACACTCACCCACGCCGCCCATACCCACACCCCTTCATTAAATTGATATGGCTTATTATTTAATAAGAGATACAGTCTTTCAAAACTGTTGTTTCTGAACATTTACAAAATAATGAAAATTTCCATAAAAATAAAAATTTTATTAAATAAATTAAAGATAAATGCTTTCCCACTGTTTCTCTATAACGAAAGTAAATTTTATCTCAATATATTAAGCGAGATAATTTTAATTTTTCAATTAGGGTGTGGGTGTTAGTGTTGAGGAGTGTGTGCAAGAAAAGAAGGCTCACACCTGCAGCCCACCCGTATCCAGAGGATAGCTTCTTTTAACTTCCTATGTTATCCAATGGATAATCTAAAGCGAATTATGGTCAGTTTTATTTCAAACCATGATACAGTCATAGACATAAAAATAAACAATATTTCGAGTACAAGAAAGATATCCTCACTCACAGATTCTCATAACATCCATTCTTTTATTCCTTTTTCATGTGTTTTAAACATTTTTATGTATATAGTGTCGATTTTTTAGAAAAGTAATTATATATTTTGAGAGTCCTAGAAATACTTTATCACTCTATATATTCAGATTTTGGCTTGAACTTCTTTGATGAGAGGTACTTCGAATATTGTCAATGTGGTGAAAGTGTCTTCATTGTACTCGAAATATTGTTCAGCAAGTAAATTCAAGTCAAGACTTAAATACATAGGATGACAGAGAATTTTGAGCGCTACCAGAAAATATAATTACTTTTCTTAAAATGTCATTTTATATTGGCGATATAATTCTACTGATCTAAACGATCAGATCGTATGTTCTAATCTAATATTTAATTGTTTAGTCGTATCATCCTCGTGCCGTTGGTGTACCTAATTCCGAAGATGATTACATCGTCATTAATGACGATGACAAGCAAAATGGAAGTTGATACAAATATCGAAAATACAAACAATTCTCAAACAAATACCAACAACAACAACAATGATTGGAAATCTCGACGAGTTGCATCATACATATCTCGTAAATGGTGATATTATTGATAAAAATGTTGATCGTCAAATTGATAGTTCTACTATTCTTTCAAATAATAATAGTAATTCAAATCAAGGTACTGAAAATGTTGAATCTGCACATATGGATTCAAATGACTTTGATACTTGGCTTGCTGATTGTATGTTTCAAAATACTCATAAACCCTTTGCTTATCTTGATTTAATTGGTGTTGATATGAATGATATTTTTGGTTCATGGGATGAACCCATGGACGTTGATTTTGATGCAAGGAAGAAACGGCGTGAGGGTATGGATGTGAATGTGTGGGTGTGGGTGTAGATCTGTTATTCATTCACACCCACACCCACCCACACCCACCCACACCCACACCCACACCCACACCCACGCGCACATTCATATGGACACCTACGTTTCACTTTCAATTTCTTCTTCTCAATTTTTGTGTGCTTTACATTACTAATACGCAAATGGATTTCTACTTTTCGTCTGTTAAGTGAAACATAAACATCAGTTTCGTTGTCAGAAGAAATCGGTGTTTGTTTTTCGCAATTTCATTCTTTCAGTGAAAACTTGTGTAAGAATACTTCTAAGCATTGCTGCAAACTGTTGATCACATTGTTATTCGAGAACTGTTCAATAATGATTTGATTACTCTTGAGACGATCAAACAATCTTATTTTCTCATCAAAACTATTAATATATATCACCTTTAATTTAGCACAGAACATAGGTTTGAGAAAATCAAGGGGGAAACAGAGGACTTCAAGACTTCAAAAGACTTCAACAGACTTCAACGGACTTCAACCGCAGTGACTTCATATTTTCACAAGACTTCAAAAGAGTTCTAAAGAGTTCTGAAGACTTCATAGGACTTCAAATGATTTTACAAGACTTCTGAAGACTTCATAGGACTTCTAATGATTTCACAAGACTTCATAAGACTTCGTATGACTTCATAGGACTTCATGGGACTTCAAAAGACTTCCAAATACTTCGTGAGACTTCACAGACTTCACGGATTTTGTTAGACTTCAGAGACTTTGTAGGACTTCTTGAGATTTTATAAGACTTCATCAGACTTTATAAGACTTTGCAAGACTTCATAAAACTTCACAAGACTTCGCCAGACTTCACAAAACTTCATAAGACTTCACAAGACTTCAAGACGCAGATTCTATGAGTATCAAAAAACCTTATAGAAATTACATGAAACTTCTATAACATGCAAAAAACAAAACTTATCATATAGAGATTACAAAAGTGTTTCCTGTTTCTGAGAATTGTTTCTCGCAGTATATCCATATCTAGAATAGAGATATGGCAATGACACAAAGCGTTGATGAAATTAAAACTAAGACAATAAACTTTACTGGTACGCGTATAGTTGATTCGATTAATCCAGCATTGAAAAACTCTTATTTTCAGGTGCAAATAAATAACAAGACTAAATCTATACACAAGCAAACGGCTGGTTGCTTATTGATCGACAAAGCTAGCCGTTTATCGGCTGATAGATTATCACGAGTGATAGAAACAAACAAAAAGGAATAAAATTCTTCATAAGACTGACATTCAATAGATGGAACATTTCTTATAAAAATAAATCACTTCATTCGAAAAGCATTCAGTTATTAACTATCATGTTTTCTAAGATCCAACAAAC